ACAGTTCCCCATAAAAGAGTTGTTTACCTTTTGTTTTGTTGTTGGTTAAACGAAATCGTGGTATGGAACGAAATCGTGGTACCATGAGTTTCGATTTAGCTCTAAGGTTAATATTATGGATATCTTCTTTCTTATTGAAATTATGTATATTTTACGGGCATATAAAATATTTGAGTAAATGTACTGTGATGCCACAGTCATGATACCAGTCTCCTTAAACTTTTCTCTGAGAGAAACCCGAGAGCCTAGACGGTACACAGAACGAATCGTTCGTTTTTGCAATACAAATATAGTTTGAATATCTGCCGCGTCACCCCACATGAGAATCCCGTAGGACATTATACTATGGAAGTAACTAAAGTAAACTAGTCTAGCAGTACTAACATCGGTAAGATCACGTATTCTGCGGACTGCGTATGCAGTGGAGCTTAATCTGCTGGCCAGGGAAGATATATGTGGAAACCATTGAAGTTTACTATCTAAGGTCACTCCCAAGAAGACTGCTTTATTAACAAAGTCTAACTTTTCTCCGTTTATTTCTATGCTTGGACTAGTCGATTTTACGTTAGGTAATTCAAATTTAACACATTTTGTCTTCTTGGCATTAAGCAATAAATGGTTAGCATGAAACCAATAAACTACCTTAGAGAGGGTATCATTAATATGGTCATAGTTAATGTCATGTCTGTCTGTTTTAAAAATCAAGGATGTGTCATCAGCAAACAACACTATTTCGCAATGGTCCTTAACAAAGAATGGCAGATCATTAATATAAATCAGAAATAAGAAAGGCCCAAGTATTGAGCCCTGCGGAACGCCCATTTTTACCGGAGAACCCAAAGAAGTCACACCATTTATATCTACTTTCTGAATTCTACCGTTGAGATATGACGAGACAAGTATAGCAATAGCAAGTGAAGGGGAGGAATTTAATGATTCTGTATTTATCTTTAGTTTTTATAAGTTTACTGTCTAATTCTAAAGCTATATCTCTATCGTGTTATATAAATCCTGCCTGACTCTTTATTTATTATGCTCCAAGTAGTTTTAGATTTATTTATCGATTGTCTAATTTTGTCGCTGTGAAACTTAACCTTAGCAGCTACACATACTTTTTTAAATATTTTTGAATAAATTCTAACATATTCTATGAAATTGGAATTAGTATTATAAGTTTTCATAGCATATAGCTCATACAAACGAGACCTATTCTTATGAATACCTACTGTTGCCCAGTCGTTGAATTTAGGCTCTCTATGGAAAGTTAATGTTTTCGATTTAAATATATTATCAAATTCATTTTTAATTAAACCAAATATCGTGCTATATAAAGTATTTGGAACCTCCGGTATATGTGGTAGGGAATTTAAACTATTGCCGATATTATTTTGAAATCTAATGATTCGTTCTGTGGTAATCGGTCTGCAGAGAAATTGGTCTACCTTCTTGCTCATTTTACAATTAAAAGAAGCCAATTGGCAACTATGGTCTGATCTTAAGCAATTTATTATTGATTTAGACACTGCGTCTGTGTTACAAAAGATGTTATCAATGCAAGTAGAAGAGGAGGCAGTGATGCGAGTTGGTTCTAAGAAAAGATTAATCAAGTTAAAACTTTTAAATAAATTAATAAGTCTTACAGAAGTAGAACAGTTTTCCAACAGGTTTACATTGAAATCTCCACATATTACTACGTTTTTTTTGGTTGGAAAAATCCGCTTTAAACTGTCTTCCATAATTAATTCAAACTCGTTAAAATTAGCAGAGGGGAGCCTGTATACACATAAGACAACAAACTGATCCAATTCCACACATGAAATCTCAATAGTTCGTTCAGTAGAAAGATCTGTGATATCCTTACGCTCTTTAAATTTTAAGTTACGTTTAATAATAATCATGGATCCGCCTCTACTTAAACTCTTTCTTATGAACGAACTGACTATTACATAATTTTCTATGTTGTTAATTGCTTCGTAGTCTTTCACCCAGTGTTCTGTAACACAAAACACGTCAACGGAAATATCGTGCAAAAAAAGACTTATTTCTAATGTTTCGCCAGAAAAGCATTGAATATTTTGATGTACTACATGGAAACGATTAAACTTAACTGTTGTCGTGTTTTTTAGTTTAAATTACGGTTAGTAGAAAGTATACTGTTGCTACTTAAAGTAGGAGCATTGTCGTGGGACTGTGTTACATTTTCTATAACAGCGTCCTTAATATTAAAAGATAGCAAACTAGCTATATGTCTCAGATACCTTATGGGTAAAAGTAAATTATCCTCAAAAAGTTTGAAGTTCCTTACGAACTTATTAATGTCAAAACAAAATATAACGTCACTATGACGGCAAGTCAAATTATGAATGTGCGAATTTATGTTATGTATATACTTATTACGAGCGATGCCTAAGTTAGAGCAGTAAGGGAATGCACTTAGTATGAATTTACACCCACACTTCTCATGAATTCTCAAGAACACGTCAATGCTACTATTTACTTCTTTTTTACTAATGTTATTACTATCACCTATTATAAGAATCACTGTTGTATATTTATCAAAGTTGCAACCACTTAACAGTGTAACAATTTGACTAAAAGTAGCTCCTGGATAGCAATAGTTGACTACCCTTTGTTTTAAGTGGTTACTTAGGTGGTGGCCTAGTCCTACGCCTATTTTATCAGAAAAAACTACCGTTCTTCTGGATGACCTGGTAGGAGTTCTAATAGTCTTGGTTGACCGTTGACTATGTCGAACTTCAACTGTTGTAGTGGAGCAGACACGTTTTCCTGCAGCAACGCTGGCATACGATGCCCGTGCTGGTTGCGTTGATGATGTGGGTGGTGGGGATGGAGTCTGATTTATTTCTACTGGATCATTTGTTTCACTAAGCTCATTCTGAAGAAGGACTTGAGTAAGTTCTCTATACTCAGTACCCAGCTTTAAAAGCTCATTAGTTGCAGCTGAAAGTTTTTCTAGTTTTTTCTGCGTAGAAAGTAGGTCTTTAGTTCGCAATTGAAGATCTAACTCTAGATCTTCCACTTGTACGGCCATCTCTACCATGTCCTTGTGTAAATTTAACTTTTGCTGATTTTAGTTTCTTACGTGTTTTCGATTTCTTTCTTATCAGGTTGGTTAATTTGGAAAATCTTGGGTCTTTCGATTTAGTGCTGCATAATTTACTGTTGCATACATTCCTGTCTCCCAGGGCTAGTTCATCACGGAGTGACAAGGTCGTTCTGTGGTTGCACCTGTGTTGTGCAATGATTCTTTAAAGAGAGAATTTGAAAGAAATTAGCATTGTTACAACAGCATCACAGTACATTTATGAAAATGTATTTTATGTTACAAAGTATGGTGGAAGGAGGATAGAGACAAATATAACATTAATATAAGGAATAAAAATGAACTAACTATTCTTGACAGTCAAATTCATTTAAGGGGCAATGTACAAGCTTCTATAATAAGATTCCGGTTGATATTCAAAATTTGCCATTTGCGACGTTTAAAACTATATCGAAACAATAACTCTATATCAAAGTTTATATTACAGCTTCTGCGTACTTGGATGATAAAAATCCGTGGTAGTGATTCGTTTAGCTCCTGCAGGTAGACTCGGTCTATGATATTTATAATAAATATTGTAAATGATTGCCGCCGTGCTGCCTCCGTGGCCTAATAGTTACCATGACGGACTGTCACGCAGAATCCCCAGGTTCAATTCCCGGGCCGGGAGAAATATTTGTATGGCCTACATTTATTTCTCTCGTGCGTTTTGGTGTAATTGTAGTTGCCTATGTGTGTGTCCATGGCACTTGCGACACAGGGTTTCCATAAGTGCGGGGATATATTGAGTGTGTTCGATATTATTATTATTGGAAATGATAAATAAATGTTTATTTACAAAGAGTTAAAAGTTTAAAGAAAAAGTTTATTTATTTACCCCGACAGTTTCTTACTAATTCTTCTTATGGGAATCTGACTTACGAACGCGCAGTAGAGTTTAACCGATATGACGATTTCAAGTGCAATTTGCTTGCCTATGAAATAAACATCACTTGACTTTGACTTTGATCGTATGTAGGATGTAGAATATAGATGTAGCTATTATGAACTATAGCTAAACAGGCAGTTAGCAACCAATTTTGCCTTGATCGGCTTAAGACAAGGAGTCCAACAGATCACATTTAAGATGGTATCCACTAATCTTGCATAGGTGGAACGGTGGAACTTCATAACGAGCATGCGATAATAATAATGATATGTATAAGGTAATGACCTGTTTGGACATTTACACAGCTTTTTCTGAAAGTGAGTGATCTATCCAAAAATACTTCAAGATACTAAGGAGTATCATTATGAGCTAAAAACACCTAAGTCATATAAATAATAATGAAACATAATCAATATTTATTAGTTACGTCCTTGGTAGAGTTAATGTTTTTTATTTTGCCAATATCATAACAATTCGTAATTTCTTAAATATTTAATAATAAGCGTAGAATATATTTATAATACTGTTTCTTTGCTTGTAAAATATGTAAATGTTCTATTTATTATTGACGTACGGTATTATCCACGGTATTATCAAAGTGTCACCCATAGGAACATGTTGTAACACGTATTGTAAGTAATGTTAGGTGTGATTTATTGTGATTTTACATTAGCGTATCGCAAACACTATAATTTAACACCATTAAGTTACACGTGTACTGTGGGTGGAGTGCGAACATATCACGAGATGATGTCATCCTGTAGAGCAGCTCACTATCTGTCACCAATCATCACAAAAACTGGTCATTTCTCGGAAAAATCTCCGAAATACTGGACAGTCTCTACTGGCACGCAACCCAATATTTGTACTATTATGCAAGCGACAAACCGGTCGAAACCTTAGGCAATTCATTCAATAAAACCACCTGTTACAAAAATACGTTTGCCTACTTAAACCTTACCCTTTACTTTTCAAAAATATACAATTAATGAGATCGATATTTCTTACGATTGACGGCAGAACTGCCTTCACGCAAATGCCCTTGTCCAATATTCCTGCAGAAATTTCAAGATGCAACCGTCACTGTTTACCTTGTTTACATGGCTCTAATAATACATCACTAGTTCTCCTTATGTCACTTCACTTCAATTCCACTTGTTCGTTGAATGTTTTCGTAGTTTTTTGTATACAATGAGTTCGTAAAATATGCGTTTACTTGTAGAGCGCGAACATGCGCGGGCGCACGGGAGGCCTCGGCGGCGAGGATTGCGAAGTATAATGGAGGCACAGGCTGCGCGGGAGGCTCTCCTCCCGCGCGGCAAGGCTGCCCCGCCGCGCACGCACTGGCATTCCAACTGTGACGACAACGTGCCCATTTATGTCTTTGGACATGGTTGATGGCCACAGCGGCCATATGGTGTCTTGCACTCGATGCGATTAAGTTTTTTCAATGGAATTCTCTAATAGTAGTAAATTACGTCAAGGTGTGGGAAATCGGTGACTTTGGTTGATTATATGATATATTTTTCGATTCCTCCTGGAAGCGAAAAATATATCGGTGATGTAGTATACGCAACAATAGACGGGCATTAAATTAATACATTAATCGCAATAGTTTCGCGAATTATATGCCATTCGACCTTTTCGTTAAGATTAAAATATTTACTCATTGTACTTGATTCTTAATTTAATTTTTTTACTCAACTTATGTCTTTGAACTTATTGACAAAGGTTGTACAAAAACTAAAACGAATGTTGCTTATTTAACTATACATAAACATAGCAGTTAAACTAGAATATATTATAATAATGTTTGTTGTGTATTATATTCTGAGGAAAGGAATATTTTCGTAATTTATGTGGGCATAAATTATTCATACAGAGTGAGTATGCTGCTATCTGCGAAAATGTTAAATTGGATTCAAGGGTTGCATAAGGTTTAATTTAATGCTGATTTGATCAAGCAAATCCCTTTATGTCAAAGGGAATTTGACGATTTTTAATAATCCAAGAGAGTCGCTTGAAGCACTATGTGGTTATGTGGTGAAGATTCTCCTTAACCCACAGAACGTAATTAAACTTACGAAATGAAAATGTGTTTTTCGGATCCTAATCGCATATATTTGTTTTTTCAAACAAACCAACGTTTCGGGTCTCAAAGTCATAGCTAACTCCTATAATATGTAATATTAAACATGTCCGAGAATTTTTTTTGTTTTGCACCTGGCAACGTTTCTATTGACTGCGATATTAAAATACCTAATAATGTCTTTATTAATTACTATGTGAATAGATGGTATATACTCAGCTGTAAACATGATTAACAGACATGCGATATTAGAGTGTAATAGACATTATATCTTCGATGCCAATGAGCCGCCACACTCGCGTGTGTTCTTTATTCAGATTTAAGGTGTCATTTCAACAATACAAGTGACTATATATTTGAAAATATGCAAATAGGATATTATTCAATACCAAAGGGAACATTTGAATCACTGAACCGGATTGTTCTCGTAGTGATAAACAAAGTTAGTGGTTCCAACGTGTATTACGACATTGTATCAAATGATAGCTTTCGACAGATGTTTGGATGTAAGGATTGGCATAAGCTGCCACAGCCTGGGATGACTAAACTCGTGAATAATTTTGAGCAGAGGACAGAATCCATGATATTTAGCCTACAGGCAACACACGTGTCGTCGCTCTCGTTTTTCCAGAAACGTCGTGAAAAGCTGAAAGTCATTTCTGTGTAGATGAATTTTTTGTCAAACGTGTTGTTGATGGATGTGTTATGAAAATTATTACTTTCCCGTGTCAAATGTAATTCTATAACGTTATAATAGTCAAAATAATTCTACAACGTAGAAGATGTAGTGAAAGATTTTTAAGAACAGGCACTTATTTTTTGAATCTCATAAATAAATCACAGTATTGGAAACAACACAAAAATAGAACACAGGTTGATATTATAAAAAAAAGCAAAAAGGATTTAAATACTTGAAGCCTCTGCAATTTAATTTTTTAACGATTTATTTTTACTACAACTATATTAGGGGTTAAAGTATGAAATTGCCGTTTTATTGCAATAGGTTCTTTGAATTTTCATAGAATCTTCATGGTTTGAGGTTTTCGAATGAAACTTTTTTCAAATGGTTTCTGTGATTTTTTTTTTAAATTTGAAACATTTGAATATCGACTTTCAATTGTTTTTGTTATTCAATTTAGACAAGAAAGATGGATACTGCGAAAATTCGAGTGATTTTTGAATACGAGTTCCGACGCGGAACTAACGCGGCAGAAACAGCCCGCAATATCAATGCTGCGTTTGGAGAGGGGTCTACTAATGAACGCACCGTGCGATTTTGGTTTAAACGCTTTCGTGATGGAAATTTCGACTTAAAGAACGAGCCACGAGGAAGACCGCCCACACAGGTGAATAACGATGAATTAAGAGAGATAGTGGAAGCCGATCCTAGTCAAACTACCCAGGAATTAGCGGCATGGTTTAACGTTACCTTACCCACAATATTGACTCACTTGCGTCAAATCAATAAAATAAAAAAATACGAAAAATGGGTGCCTCATGATTTGACTGATCTGCAGAAAGAAACGCGTGTTGAAACTTGTGTTGCCTTGTTGAACCGGTACAGAAATGAAGGAATATTGGATCGAATTGTAACATGTGATGAAAAGTGGATTCTTTATGATAACCGGAAAAGAAAAATGCAATGGCTGACCCCAGGTCAAATGCCACAACAGTGTCCTAAAGCAAAACTTACCAATGAAAAGGTAATGGTAACTGTTTGGTGGTCTCAGCATGGTGTTATTCACTATAGTTTTCTCCGATCTGGTCAAGCAATAACGGCAGATGTCTATTGTGCCGAACTCCGAACCATGTTGACAAAACTAGCAGTAAAACAGCCCCGACTCATGAATCGATCTTCACCATTATTGCTCCACGACAACGCGAGACCTCACACAGCACGAGAAACCATTTTGACCCTACAGGAACTGCAGTTAGAAACCATTCGTCATCTTCCGTATTCACCAGACCTTGCTCCAACGGACTACCATTTTTTCGTGATTTGGACAATTATCTACGTGACAAGAAGTTTTCTTCCCAGGAGGCAGTACAAAATGCTTTCACACAGTTTGTGCAGTCTAGATCGTCGGAGTTCTATCGCAAAGGCATTAATAACCTTCCCATTAGATGGCAGCAATGTATAGATAATAATGGCAACTATTTTGATTAAATAAATTTGTTAAAAATTTAAAAAATAAACAATTTAGATTTTCAGTACAAATCGGCAATTTCATACTTTAACCCCTATTATTATATTTAATTGAAACTCGTAAAGTGATATTCGTGAACCAAATTTTATTATACAAATATGAAACCAACAAAACCGATGCCAAAGATCGAGTTTTTTTCAGGTGTGGCAGTGTTTTGTAATTTTATTACTAGTACCATTTTTATGGGTATTAAACGAAGCTACGTTGATTTTATTTTAAAATATTTAGGACATATCTAATATCATTATCGTTCAATATACATCACACTGGTAGGTACGGGTCTGGGCTTAGAATAAATAACGCTGGCCCAATATAGTTTAGTTTTATGGTACCAAGTGGTGGGAGGAACAAGTCTTGCGTCTGGTCTGGTGGATAGCGCCACACCTGTTCATCTGAGCTTTAAGTTGCAAAGATCTGGGCACTGCACCCGTTACCCTGCGACATAAATTTACAAATCCCATGTGCTTGTTACACCAGCATCCTTACCCTTCAAAATCGGAACGCAGTAAGTAACCCATTATTGCTTGGTGGTAAAAATTGCTAACATGGCAGTACTTACAAGTGAGTATCGTCAAATTGTGGGTTAAGGGTAAAACTTACAATGAAACAGAGGGCTTGCCGGAAGTTATTTCATAATTATTTTTATATAGGTAACCATTCATTTATAACTAGGTATACTAATTAATTTACTGTTAAATACAGAAAATCTCATTTTAAACTGTAATTTAAAGAAATTTGCCCGAAAAGGTACACATATAATTAATTTAGGCATCGCAATTGCACATTAGGTTCTAATATTAAAATGTATAGGTTAAGTATGAAGATTGTATAATTTAGATTCCTCTATTAAAGCTTATTACTGTAATAACTTTATTTACATTTGTTTTACTTGTTTTGTATTTGATTACGATATATTGAAATAAATTTTGAGAAGCGACATGCTGGCGCGCAGGTTTGCACGTTGTAATGTAGAAGTCAAAGAAAGAAGTCAACCTTGTTCAAGGCATACTGCGAAACTTTCTACACGTGCAGCCTGTGGGCCAAGTGTACACGCAGATCTCAAGATGCCCTACGAATACAATATAATAATGGGCTTAGGATGCTGCTGGGGTTACCCCGATTCTGCAGCGCATCAGGTATTCCAGGCTATCCTGCGCAAACGGGTAGCTTCGGTGATGCAGCGCGTGCGGCACCAGCAGCACCAGCGGTCTCCTGAATACCATCCTGGAGCGGGCAGATTGCCCGTTAGTAAGGCACTGGAATGCGTGTCACATACGTTCCGGAGTCGCCACATAATTAATTAAATTTCATTGCTACTAACATAGAATAAGAAAATTGTTACTAACAAAATATGAACATTAGTTTGAAATAAAAGATTATTATTATTTACTTCCCTGGACGAATTGTTTCACAAGGAGCTCTACTGTTACTTAGCCGATGAGAATGTAAGTTAGGGACCATACACGTTTTCCAAGAGATGTGAACCTTCTTTGATATGCAGGTTTCGTCATGTTGTTTTCGTCCACCGAGTTACTGCTGTTAAAGATTCACAAATATACGATTCGACCGTAATTGAGAAGCAACCGTTCTCCCACTGGGCTATCGCCGCTCTTATGTAATATAAAGTAAGTTTGCAGCTACTTTGTAATAGCAATAACTCTCCTCTTTCCCGAAACGACAAATGAAAAAATACTTTTCACACAGCAGTCGGAAGCTAGCAGTTCGAGGGACCCGCACCCAGTTGTACTTGTTATTTTTTATTTGTTTGTGCTGTTGATGATGTAAGTTGGAAGGAGCAAATAAACTAATTTTCCCCTTTTCGAACGCTGTCCAGTTCGGCGAACAAGAATCAAATAAAAAATATGTTTGTAACTGTTTAAAACTGTTGGGAGAATTTTATGAAAACCCTTGAAGCACGTTATTGGAATGGACTGCGCTTTTTATTTGTTTGTATTTTGGAAC